CTCTGCCCAGTTTTCACTGTCTCCTCTCCCAGGCATGCGCTGACACTTGCTGTCACCCATAACATTCCTAACTGAAATCTTGATATTAAGGTTCCTGTTTTCTGACCACCACCTCCTTCTTTATACCAACCTATCGACTCTCCTGCAAGCCACATTCCCCTGTCCTTCGGCTCTGCCTTGTGGCCGCTCTCTGCCATGCTCCCGACTTGCCCCCACGGGCAATCCAACCCCCGGCAGAGCCCGCCGGCTGTAGCTACACCCGGTTGGAGCAAAACCAGTGACATTTTTAGTTGTGTGACTCACTCAGATGTGTATTTCATATCACGTTCTGTTTTCAGGCCATTAGTGACCCTTTTAGAAAAAATATAGAAGGGAGACAGGGGACGAGAGAGGGCAGTTTGGATAAACACGTGCCGTCCTCTCTTCAAACACTGTCCCTCCGCTGGTGTTTGCTTTGCTTCCCTGTCCTTCCTCCTTCACCTTTCCTCTGTCTGTGCATTTGCTCTTCATGTTTCTTTGTGTAATTTAGTTACATTTTACTAGAATGTAAATTCCATGAGAGCAGGGATATTGTTTGCTCTCTCCCCACTGTGTCCTTACGGACAAAATCCCGGTTTCCTTGGGACAACAACGTATTCAGTGGAACAGTGAACAAAAACATTCAATCTCCTACCTTTTCAGTGAGATATAAGTGGAAGTCACATCTTGAGACTTCTTGGAAAGCTCTTTACAAGGGGGTGACTCCATCGGCTTTGCTCTCTTGCCCTCACTTCCCTCGTTTTCCTGCCTGGGAGGCGGATGCAGCCGTTGAAGGCAGAGCAGCCATCGGAGGATCACGGGGTGACCCACACGCGAAGGATGGCAGCACCAGCAGCTAGACTCAGTCTGGGTCCTCGATGCTCGCTCCCCGTAGCTGACCCAGCCTTGACCTGCATGCCCCGAGAAACTGCATTGGTTGTGCCCCTAGAAGAGACTTCTGTTTCGTGGAGTCAAAGCGAGGGGAGGAGCAGCCACTATGTACCCCCCGGAAGGCCTGTCACGTCCCCGCCCCCCTGATGTGCCCTCCAACCCAGGAATTGCCCTTCCTCACACCTGCGTGGGAATCGCCACCATAATGTGTGACTGTGGGAAGGTCACCTCCCCCAGATGCGTTGGGTCGCTCGAGACAAAACGCTGGGAAACTCTGCCTCAGGGAGGCCCGTGATAAACTGACGACGCGGAGGCTGTGGGAGAGCCAGTGCTGCTACGAGCTCGGTGGGTATTAAACAGGTGAAAGAAGTATACCTGAGCCTCTGAGTCCAACCAGAGAGGCGTCAGAAGGAGCTCGGAGTTGTCGTAGGACGACGAGGGGACTGATTACAGAACCCTAACCTTCCCGGGCACCTTAGCACCCATCCAACGGGCTGTCTCCCCTAAGGCAAAACTGGACCTCCACCACTTTGTTAGGGAGCCTCATCCAGGCTTGCTCGGCACTTAGGTGACTGGGAGTTGACACGCTCACAAGCCGACCCACTGCTTTGTTGGGAAAAAAAAAAAAAATAACGGGAGAATCCTTCTTTACAATGAGCTTAATATGGTTGCACTTAGTATTATTACATGCCAGTGATATAGCACTTTATATATTTATTTAAAGAGATTTCACGAGATCGCTTTTGATTTGATAGTCATAAAAATGATGTGAACCACTTGAAATGGGACCGTTACCCCAATTTGAGAGTGTGCAAACAAGTGCAGAAAGGCGACCCATACTTGGGCAAGGTTTTACAATTCCCAGGGGAAATGGCTGGATTTGAACTCAGACTACTGGGCTCAAGGTCAAGCTCTATTTCCAGTTGATATCATTTACTCATTCAGTATTAATGGACAGAGGCCCTACTATCTACTGGTCTCTAAGATAAGTGCTGAAACTCTAATGATGAATAAGATAGCCCTGGCCCTCCTAGAGCTACCATATTTTGCTGTGTATAATGCACACTTTTTTGTCCAAATTGTGTAGGGAAAAATAAGGATGTGCATTATACATGGGTAGTATCTGAAATACCTTCAATTTGTTCTTACGTTTTGTAATTACTTGTTACATAAAATTTCTTGTACCATAATATGTTCACAAATAAATGCTAGAATCCCTTCATAATACCAAAAAAGTCTCCAAATATAAATGAACAAATAAATAAATGAATGAATAATTGAATTAAAAAATTAAAACAAAAGGTAATTTTTCCTAAAAGTTTGGGCCCAAAACGTGGGTGCTCATTATATGCAGCAAAATACGGTACTAACTGCTTACCAATGAGCCTTACTTTGAGCCCTTGGTATATATAACCCAGAGCGACAAGTGTATCCCTTCCTCTGCACATCAGTCATTCAATTATCACATGGCCGCAAAGGTTTCTCTTATCCAAACAGATTATCCTGTTTCTGCAACAGCTCTGACTGAGTCAGGGATTTCGAAGCTGTCGAACACCCTCATCCCCTTGCCACCTGACACCCTCTATTTTTTCTCAGCCTCTCCAGTAAGGAATGGCACGCTGAGTTGGACACCTGCTCCCAGGCTGGCCCCGGAGCCCGTGGTCTCGGGCGGTTAGCAGTTGAGTGCCACCCGAGTGCAGCTTGAACGTACTGCACCTGTTCTGGTTTCTCGTGGCAATGTCGGCTTGTGTCCACTTCATGGATCACCGACACCACTACACGGCCTTCCTGTGGATTACAGTCAAGTCAACTCTCCTCCACGCTGTACTCGAGTATTGGACATGGCACAGTTAGATGCCAGATTTAATGCATTCCAGTTCAATGTCATTTCATCCTCTGCGCTGCTATCACATCCCTTGAGCTCTTCCTCACCTTGATTCTGTCAGTTTTCAGGTTAACTATGTTTCCCAGTCATGTGTTATGAATAAAGGAGATAATCGTGTCTTCCATGTTATTGACACAAATGTTGAACGGAACAATTTCAAAGACAAAACCCAGTAACGCTCTTTCCAGGAGGATTCGTTCCGGTCTGTTACCCCTGCACTTGCGGCGCTCCCCACGCCTTCATTCCGCAGATGGTCATGAACGCCGTCTTCGGGGCTGGAGGCTGCGATGAGAGAAGCGAAACTCCCTGAGGGTGGAGAGAGGCCACGGAAGAGAATGCTCTCAACTCAACCTCAGAGAAGCAGGTCGATCCACAGTGGCATCCAATTCAAAGACGCAATGAGGGACCTTATCAAATGTTTTGCTGAAGCCACTATGAACTAGTTCCGTAGGTTAGGCATTCCACCGATATTCCAAACCTGGAATCAGACCCAAACTTAGAACTGAAGCTATTTCCGAGGACTTGGTCTTTGGTGATCCCTTTCGGACCCTACGGGTCTCTCGTTTGCACCTGGGAGAAGTGCTTCAGAACCCCATAACCCTTTAGATCTCTCCTGAAGATGGCCAGTCAACAGAAATGGATCTGCTTACCTCCCCGGGTGACACCAACACCGTAGAGGACCTCTAGCTTTCCTGTGTACTTGCCAGCTCTGCCTGAAGCCATTTTCTGATGCCGCAGTACGTGGTAGGCAAAGTCACACCCGCACTTCAGCCCAACCCCATGACAGCCCCTCTTTCTCTCCCGCCCTGCAGGCGGAACCTCACTATCTGAGAGGAGGCGCAGAATCCTCCCCAGCGACAGACAGACAGCCATAGCTTCCAACCTCGGTGCCAGCCTTCGACACACAACACAGTGCTGTTTACTGTACACATCCCGGTGAGTCTCTGAGCCTGGGGATTGTCTTGGAGAATCCAGCATTTTCTTCATGTGGTATTTACATAGTATTGCTAGCTTTCTAAGTTTCTTTTCCAGATTTTAATGTATCATATTTGTTTTTGCACTCTTTTTTTGTATCCCCTACACGCAAGACCACGTGTTCGATAGGGCAGAGGTTGGTATGATGCTGAACAAGAACTGGTCCCAGCCGTAAAAGGAACTGACGGCCCAGTGGGGAAGATGGACTTGCACGTGTGGGACACAAGGAAGTGGCTGTTCCGGTTTCTTTTTGATGGGCAAGCAGTTTGCAAGGACTTGAGCTACGTGAATGCAAGGCCATGTCCACACAGCTTTAAAAACGTCATTTCAGGGCCGAGGACGGGAGGTGGGGTGGAGGCAGGGCATGGGGAAGGACAAAGAGCATAAAAGTGGTTATCATGTCCCCCCATATGACAAGAACAAATTATTTTTTATGTTTTTCACTGTGTCTGTGTTAAAGTCTGAGTCCAAGCGATTTCCCATTTCCGATGAATTCCATACATTTATATTTATTGTAAGTCTGTAAAAGACTTCCCATTACTCAGCAACTGAGCCAAAGCTTTGGTAACTTTCCTGAAATAAAAGAGAAAACATGATTTCTCTTGTTTTGGTGGCATTACTTTCCACTCAAGAAAATCATTTCAGAAAGTTGATGTTTGTGGTAAAAACAAACAAACAAACGAACAAACAATTTTTAGGAATAAAAACTTTAAGAAGTTGTGCTGTTTAGCTTTTTAAAAACTCACCCAGAAGACAGAACCTTTTCCTTTTTCTTGTAAGAGGAACCTTAGTCTGTTTTAAAATTGCAAACATATCTTCTTTGTGTAGGAAAATCAATTAATAGAGCATAGTGGTTGTTTAGCTACTTCAAAAACTGAAGCATAATTTACTGTTCTCTCTCTCTCTCTCTCTCCTCCCCTTTCCCGACAACCGGGTTCAGAAGGTCTCATTCTGCAATGACTATCCCCTTCTATCCCGGGGGCAAAGATACTCTTTTGGAGTGCAGATTGAGAAGAGCTTTAATTCCCTAGCCTCAGAAGTGTCCTTTCCTTGGGGGAGAGAGAGCCCCTTCCAGCAGAGGTGGCAGCGGAAGGGGTTAACACCGGACTTGGCCGGCTGTCAGTGAGACTTTTTTTCTGGCTGCGCGGGTTTCCCCTTGCAGGGATTTCCCTCCGCCTCTGCTGGGAGACCCTTTATAAGGCGCAGGCTCTCCAGCTCACTCCTCACTGAGCCTCGAGTGCTTCAGGGGCTGAAGACTCTTCCCAGGCACTTTTCAGCTGGGACAGAAGGCAGCGATTGGGGACCACTACTTCCTCAGCACAGGAGCAACTTAAAATGCCTGGGAAGATGGTCATGATCTTTGGGGTCTCAAATATACTTTGGATGGTGTTCGTGGCTTGTAAGTTCTGCTCCCGGGTCTGTTGTAAACGCTTGCATTCCATTTCAGTCCTGGCTCCGGGTCTGTCACTTCTGCTGGGCGAGTGGAGGAAGGCACTGGAGTCCTTCCACTGTGGGGAAACTTCATTTAGCCTGACTTCTGATGTGCTATTGAGTGTTGTTAGATATCGTTACACGGTCATAGTTGGAGCTGCAAATGGATGGGGGTTTTTGTATACTTTTTTCCCAGTGAGCATTTGGATTCTGTCTCTGGTAAGAGCTATCGTGTTAGTTTCCTGTGCTTCATAATGAGATCTAACTTAGCAAATAACAAAACAAGTCCGATAAACGGGCTCCGTGCTCGGAACCGAGAGCTCGGTAAGTGAGGATAATTTCCACACCTCCTCTGGAGGGGCGCCAAGGTCTCTTGGCTGCCTTGACATGCGCTGGAAGCAGCGTAGGAAAGCGTTTGGCCAGATCAGAGTGTGACATGACCCTGGAACAGAGGAGGGCAGAATACTGAACAAACCAGTGTGACCAGGTTGTCTCTTTCTGCCTTCACAGCTCAAGCTTTTAAAATTGAGACCATCCCTGAGTCCCAAATCGTGGCTCAGATCGGTGGCTCTGTCTCGCTGGTCTGCAGCACCACGGGCTGCGAGTCCCCCTCCTTCTCCTGGAGGACCCAGATAGACAGCCCGCTGAACGGGAAGGTGCGGAACGAGGGGAGCATGTCCACGCTGACCCTGGACCCCGTGGGCTTCGGGAACGAGCACTCCTACCTCTGCACGGCCGCCTGTGGTTCCCGGAAAGAGGAGCGAGGGATCGAGGTGCAAATCTACTGTGAGTACTTCAGAGAGGGTTTGGTTTTCTTTCAAGTTGGCTTTAAAGTAAGTTTCTAAAACGGATGTTTTTTTAAAAAAAAAAATTGTCCACGTCTAGATTCTTGACCAGAGGACGGACTGTACCAGGATGGTCAGGGCAGCAGAGTTTAGTGCTAGGCCAGGCCCCCAAACCTGGTTCCTGTCCCCGCCTCGGCCGCAGGCAGGGTGACCACGCACAGACTCAGCCGCTCTGGGCTTTGCGTGTCTGAGCCCTGAAATGAAGATCTGTAAGGTTCTTTGTATTTCATTTTCCCAAAGGTCCTGTGGGATGGATTATATCCTTGCATGTTTCCTTAGCCATGCACCTAAGTGATTTACGAACCCTGCCCTTCAGGGCCTTTCCACTTATTCAGTCTTGTGCAATTCGGTGCTTAGAATCAGTTGAGCAGGCAACGTGAATTTAGTAGCTGGCAACCGGACACACGTTTCCCCCTTCGACATGAGAAACATATCTGTGCACACGTCCTGCACTTGATTTTGGCATAGACTGGTTGAAGAGTTTGTTGTCGTTGCTTTTGTTGTTATCAATCCTTAATGTTCAACCGCTTGACCTCCAGGGTATTTGTCTAATGAATTAGATTTGCCGGGTGTGAGTGAGTGCTCCTACATTCCCACTGCACCATCATACGCTCCCATCTAGTCTCAAGCCAGCAAATCGAGTTAGCAAGAGGCATGAAAAACCACCTGAAACAAATCACGTGCCTTCGCTTACTGAGGACCCCCCTTTCAAAATACACAAAACACGGCAAGGCTGTAGGGCCGCCTCTTCACGAAGACCTCGCTGGATTGTTTGGTAGTCGTGCAGCTTCGCTTCCGCCGCGGCGCAGCGCGGCTTGGCCCGGTCCGCCTGCTCCCTCAGCAAGGTCCCCAGCTGCGAAGGCTTCCCGAGCAGCTGCGCCTGGCCCGCTGCTTTCAGCTACGCCGGCGGTCCAGGCGCAGTCTACGTGCGTGCCGCCCCGGGCTCCTTGAAAGGCCCCCTTATGGCAATACAGGGAAAAGGAGCAAGTTCTTACCGTACCCGACAGCAAACTGAGGATTATAGGCACAGTTCCTACAGAATGTGAGGGACAGGAAGTAGTGGTGGAAAAAGGAAAAAACTGTGTTTCTTTCCCATAAAAGGTTTCCAGGTCCTTTGCCTTTGCTTACAAGTCCCAGATAGCTGAAGATTGGAGAGACAGACAGACAGACAGACAGACAGACACCCTTCTGGCTTTAATTACCTGGTCTGAAGTTTCTCTTTAAGTCTGTCTGTCTCTCATTAGGTGTAAGAGCCCTGCCTTCATTCCACGTTCGATTGTCATGTTCTTTAGAGCTGCGACCGTCGAGTTACCGTTACACAGGCTTGAACCCCCCCGAGGTGCCGCCCTCAGGAAGGTCTGTGAGGAAACTGCGGCCGGCGGAGTCAGGGCCGGCCCTGGGCAGCGGGAGGCGCAGGGCGCGCTGCTGAGGGCGCTGAGCCAGGCCTGCCTCCCAGAAGCGAGAGGCCGCACTGGCAGAAGCCATCACTTTCCGCGGCTCTCTTGCTTCTTAGCCTACCCTGCCCAGTCGCTATTCTTGGCGATGACATTTTGAGCCTCCAGTTCCTCATCTGGAAAATGGAAATATATCTGTCCTAGAATAGGAGAATGTGATAAAATATAATATAAACCTGCAGTAGCAATACAGAAGAACAGAAATCCTGAGTTTCAAGCCCAGACTTAACCCTTACTAGCCATGTGACTTTGGGCTGGTTATGCAAATGCACTGAGCCTATGTTTTCGTGTCTGGGAAGTGTGGTCCCAACCTCTCTGGGTAATTGTGAGGATAAAATAAAATCCTTTGTGTTACATGCATGGTACAGTGGTGGACACATAGGGAGTGTTTAGTAAACATTCATTTCTCCTCCCTCCTTTTACGCCAGTAATGTGCAAACCTCAGCGTAGGCAGGATCGGAACTGAAGAATTTGCTGAAAGGTGGTTGATTCATGAACCTTCCCAAACCGTGAAAGGCTATTTAGACAGTGAATCAAGACTGTAGGGTCAGAAACGTTAGCTCCGGTTTACAGTGCAGTCAGTCACTAGAGGACCTGGCACAACACGGGCAAGAGGCCACTCACACGCGCTCCCCTGACCTTTGCAGCTTTCCCTAAGGACCCAGAGATTCAGCTGAGTGCCCCTCTGGAGGTTGGGAAGCCGGTCACAGCCACGTGCTTGGTGCCTGACGTTTACCCGTTAGAGAGGCTGGAGGTGGATTTGCGGAAGGGCGGCCATCTCTTGAAGAATCAGGAGTTCCTGGAGCCTGCTGAGAAGAAGTCCTTGGAGACCAAGGGTTTGGAAGTGACCTTCACTCCCACCCGTGAAGATATTGGGAAGGCCCTTGTTTGCCAAGCTCGATTAAACCTTCCCGAAATTGATGAGGGGCTCCAGCAGAGGGCGACTACAGAGATACTGCAAGTTCACGGTAAGTGCTGGTGTGACGTGGTCCAGTCTTCATGGGGGTTCAGTCTTGGGCACCCACAGAAATACTTTTAGCAGCTGAGTCACAAAGCAACTTGTTGCACTCCATTTCTATTCACTGAGAACATCTTATTTGTCAACAACGTATCTCAGGGGCAAGAGCACTGGATTTGGGTTGACAAGACCTGAGCTTGAATTCTGGCTCCAGTGACCATGTGAACTTGGGTCGCTCAATTCCTCTATTTCCTGGTCTATCCCAGGGAAATGACAATACCACCGGATGGGGTAGGAGGAAATGGGCTCAACTGGTACCATTTTTAGCCATGTGTGTAAACTCATACTATGCCCTGAAATATCAAGGTCTTACGAGTGAGCGCTTGCTCTGTGTGTGCGCGTGAGCACACGCCCGCACATGCACTGGGTGGGAGGGCGGAGATGAGCTTCGATCGCTCCACATTCCCGGGCACTGTCAGGGTTCTGAGGCCGCCTCCTGCTCCCAGAACCGTGTCGGAGGGGCCTCGTCGTTCTAGACGCAGAGGCGGCGCCCTGCTCTGGACACCGCGTTGAGACGGGGTGCTGTCGAGCAGAGCGTGTCTGAAAGAGAACGAAATGGAAAGGCTCATTAGGATTTTGAAAACCGTAGTCGATCGAGGCGCTAGTTTCCCCAGAGAATACGAAACGTGGAGAAGAGAGCGATCGTTACGTATTTGAAAGACAGTCCTTTGAAAGAGAGATTGAATTTAGTCTGCAATGGCGGACGGCTGAACTATGACTGCCACGTAGAAGCTCGGTACGAAGAGGGAGATTTCAGCTCAGTAGGGAGGCGATGTTCTGATCCTTAGAGCTGTCCAGAAGTCACACGGACAGCTTTGTGAGGTGGCGGCACGCCCAGCGTGTGGAAGGTGACTCAGGAGGCACCTGGGCAAGGGTACCAGATAGGACCCCGACCTCACCTGGGAGACTGAGCCACGTTCAGGGTCTTTCTTGCCAAACTTGCGGGTGCACAGAAGGCAGCCCGTGAGAGGAGCACATTGTCCCTGCTGCATCCAGGTGGTGCTCAGCAGTTGCTCAGACGTGCTCTGTCTTTTCAGTCGCTCCCAAGAACACCGTCATCTCCGTGAATCCCTCCACAAGGCTGCCAGAAGGCGGCTCCGTGACGATGACGTGCTCCAGCGAAGGCCTGCCAGCCCCGCAGATAACCTGGAGCAAGAAGTCAGAGGATGGGAGGCTCCAGCCCCTTTCTGCGAACGGAACGCTCACCTTAATTGCTATGAGGATGGAGGATTCTGGAATTTATGTGTGCGAGGGAGTTAATCTGGTTGGGGAAGACAGAAAAGAGGTGGAATTAATTGTGCAAGGTAAGGAGAACGTGAAAAAGGAAGGCACAAATGCTATCGCTGGGCCTCGGGCACTAACTAGCAAAGCGGTTTCGAAGCCAGAACTGCTCCCTGCAGTGTGACCGGCGGCCGATCTCGTCGCCGAGAGCTGCGGGCACCGTTCTGTATTCATCTAACGCTTTGCACAGTGGAGTGCCTGCCGCGTAGTGGGCGCTCAGTAAATGTAGGATGAATACACTATAAACGTGGGTGCCTCACATTTTTCATAAATGAAAACATGAGGCTTAAACTTGGATGGTTGGAAAAATAAGATTCAAACCCCCTGTCCATAAGTGAACGCGGGTGGGCGTCGGGTTAGCACGGTGGCAGGGCGCGGAGCACCAGGAAGAACGGTGCAGCGACAAGAGCAGGCACAGCCGCGCTGGACCACCCTACCCCATCCCGGGCTGCGTCCCATTTCAGGGGGACGCAAACACCTCACAGGGCAGGCAGGGCTGTTTTACACTTTGTGTCATGGGATCCTAAGAACTGCAAGTAAGCACGAAAGAGAACTGACCTTTCAGAGGGCTCTTCCTTACCCAGTGAAGTGCTCCCATAGGACCCACAGATCCGCGCGGTAATAGACGCGGCCCCTGTGGGGTGGGGGAGGGGAAACACCCATCTGAGGCTTGTTCACACACAGGAAGCGGTCCTGCTTCAGAGTTCCCCATTCTCACACCGGCGTAGGAGGACTTCGGAAGCTCTGGGCATGGCTCTGAACTGTCTCTTTCAGAATCTAATAGCCTAGCAGCTTATGTGGCTAACTTGAGCAAAGCCCTCTTTGGAGGATGCTACAATGCCAGGGCCAGACAAACCCGGCGGAGGGAAGTAACCTCTGGCACAGAAGAGACTGTTCAGATGTTGGGATTTCTTTCTTCCACCCCCAACCTGCTACTTACACGGACCGTGTTCGTGATTTTCCGTGGAGTCACAGCTGTCATTTTTGGAGTTGTCCAACTCTGCCCGTTTCCTTAGGGGAGCAGAGTGGAGATTTCGGTTTCCCTTTCTCCCTAGATGGTGGTGCGTGTGGCCAGCCAAAGAGCTTTCCCGGATATTGGAGTCTTAGGGGTTTGCCCTCCATCTCAGTTTCCAGCCCCTGAATCAATTGTGAAGTATTTTTGTTTTGCATCAAATGAAGTTTGGAGGTGGCTTGGATGCCGCTTCAGTGCCTAGACTTCGGCTTTGCTTTCTCAGTGTGACTGTCGATGGTATAGCTTTCTCTTGTTGGCACAAAACTCTCAGCACTGGTCCTTCTAATTAGAAGAAATCTTCTTGTAACTTTGTAGCATTTTCCAGCACCTCTTAGGGCTCATCCCCACAGGAGGGTGACCGGATTTTGTCCTTCAAGCAGGTGAAAAGCTGGGATCTTGCATCAGACCCACCTGGTTGCAAGCCTTAATTTTGTTAGTTGTAAGCTGGATCAAAGTTATTTCTGAGCTTAAACTTCCCCAAGGAGGAGGAGGTGGAGGAGAAGAACTAACAGTAACAGTTTGCAAAGTTGTTGTGAGGATTAAATGAGATACTATATAGAGAGTGGTTTACACAACGCCAATACACTGGAACCTCTTAAATTATTTGCGTTGTTATCCACTATGGCAGGGATTTGATAAACCATATTTGAGCAGAGACTGGCCACCCTCTGTCTTGACAAATTTTTACCCACATTTATTCTGTTCAATGAACGAATCAACAGACTATTGTGCGTTCATTCTTGCAAGATGTGGTCTCGTCCCTGATGGTCCCGACAGGGGAAGGGGTAGCTTTTTCTTGGCACAGGGTTCATGTAAAGGAAATCAGGGGAAGAAAAAAAAAGACCTTTTATTGGAATGTGTTGAAAGAAGAAAATCATCTTACCTTCCTTTGGTCCTGTCCTTTTTCCCTCCAGAAAAACCGTTCGCTGTTGAGATCTCCCCTGGACCCCAGGTGGCTGCTCAGATCGGTGACTCTGTCGTACTGACATGCGGTGTCACGGGCTGCGAGTCCCCCTCTATCTCCTGGAGAACCCAGATAGACAGCCCCCTGAACGGGCAGGTGAGGAGTGCGGGGGCCACGTCCACGCTGACCCTGAGCGCTGTCAGTTTCGAGAACGAACATTCTTACCTGTGCACCGTGACCTGTGGACGCAAGAAACAGGAGAAGGGAATTAAGGTGGACCTCTACTGTGAGTGGCTTTCAGAACTCTTTGCTGTTTGTTTTTTTCAATTCCATTGGAAGTAACATCATATAAGTCTGAGGGACAATGAGCTCTGTGTGTTTAGAAAGGGAACTCAGCATTGGGAATGGTTCCTAATTCTCAAAACCAGAATTTCCACCGCAACCTACCTGGCCTAGATCTTCGGTCCATGTTACCTACATACACAGCATCAGCCACCCTTATGTCTTGTCACCACCGCGCCCCGTCGTGCGCAGGAACACGCCAGGTGCCCGCTGCCTCCCGGCCCCTCTCTGTGTATTGTTCCAGGTGACAGCGAGCAGGGAGCGGGGGTCATCCCGATCACTGGGGCGGGGTGACAGCGGCTCCGGATCGGAACTCGGGCTGAGCCCCGAGCCCGCTGTTTTGAAGGCATATTTGGAAAGCCAATGGGCAGGATGGGGGAAACGAGGCGACCAGGAGCAGGAGAGAGCCAGAAAGGAAGACAGGGAGACGGGGAGTCAGAGCAGGCGGCCAGGGGCCGCCGCCCAGGGCACAGGCAGAGGCGGCCGGCAGCCCCGGGCGCTCGTGCGGACTGAACGGCACGCGCACGCGGCGCCGTTGCCTGCGGTTCCACCACCTCACTAAGAACCCTTCGCAGCTGGGACCTCCGGGAATGCAGCATCGCGGGGGTTCCTCAGTTGTCAGGAATGAGGGACGAAATACGCAAAGTGGCCCTGCCTTGCCTAATGCAGCAGAATCCAAGAGAACCCGCTGTAGAGATTTGCTCCCGGAAAACTTGCCTAAACTTGCGTCCCCCTCAGGATTTGTCGGAAACAAGTTAGAGTCTGTCAAGGGTGGATTTGACCGTGTTTTCCTACTACCCAGAGTCCAGGATCTGCTGATGTAGGCACATTTCCAACAGAAATGAGAACCAGCAGGGAAGTCTCATTGCAATATGTAAATATTTGAGGATATATCACTTCAACAACACTTTACTTATGGGGAAAAAATTTTAGCATTCTTTTTGCTCTGGATAAATATTTCAGTCTTGTTTCTATTGCTTTGTATAAGATCTCGTATAAATATTATTCCGAACCCAAACTTCTTACAGTTTTTTTCTTAACTAACCAATATTGTCTGAGAAATATTTAAAGCTCGCTGCCTAAACGTGGCCGTTGGCAATGTCCACGTCGAGGATGGCCCCGAGGGTCTTCGGCCATACCCGGGAGCCTGCCGGGCTCAGTAAAACCAAGTCTGAGCTCTGAGCACAGAGAAACATGAGTTCTTATCTCAACTCAGCGACTTCCTAGATACACGACCTAATGGAAGTTTCTTAGCCTCTACAAGTTTTGTGAGTTCTCCTCACCATAAAGCAAGTTCTCGCTAAGCTTCCTAGCGGTAAAATTAATCACACAATAGCCATGTGATCAGCCTGTTTTGAAGACTGAGATAAGTTAAGGGAGTAGCACACAGTAATGCGTCACGGCAAATATTGAAAACATTTAAAATATGTGGTTACTAAATAAGATGGTGGAAACCCACGTGTCCTTCGAAAAGTCCATCCCTGGCTGTCCAGCAACATTACATCACGGAGAAGGGGGGAAAAAAAGGATATTTTTTACTTGATTATTTCATTTACTATTGTTTTGTCTCCAGTGTTACATATATTTACTATCATACATATTTACACTTTGTTATGTATATATTGGTGATCCGTCTATCCCAAGGGATTTAACACTCTCTTTGAGGCCTTGGCACTTCGTCGAGATTGGTTCTGTTTCTCTGCCGAATGCCATGTACAGGGATCCCTTTTGCTTGATGCCCACAGCGTTCCCTAGAGACCCGGAGATTGCCATGAGCGGTGGATTGGTGAGCGGGCAGCCGGTCACCGTGAGCTGCAAGGTGCCTGACGTGTACCCTCTGGACCGGCTGCAGATTCAGCTACTGAAGGGCGAGCATGTAATGGAGAGGAGAAACTTTCTGGAGGACATGGAGAAGAAATCCCTAGAGACCCGGAGTTTGGAAACGACCTTCATCCCCACCACTGAAGACACTGGCACAGTGCTTGTTTGTCAGGCTGAGTTACAAATTGATGAGATGGATTTTGAACCCAAACAAAGGCAGAGCACACAGACGCTCAGTGTTAACAGTAAGTACAATGCATCCACCACTTAGCAGGGATTTCCTTTTTTTTTAAATTTTTTAATTGTTATTGGTTATGCTGTGACAGTTGATCCTACTTTGTCCCTCTTTCTCTACTTCCACCCAGCCCCTCCCTCGTCCGTCCCCCATCAAGCCCCACACTGTGGTCTGCATCCAAGCGCTGCGCAGGAACGTTCCGTGGCTAATCCCTTCACCGTCTTCCTTTACCGTGTTGGCCAGGCAATAGTTAACATGAGGTTACGAGCGAAAACCTCTGTAAAAATCAAAGCCGAAAAGAAATTCCAAAATAATGATTATCATAACAAACCACCCTCCAGCACTCCGAACCGTAACCATTTATTAGCCTACAATCCTGCGAGCTGGCAATGGTGGACAGGGTTGTCTCCTCAGGGCGACAGGCGAAGAACTCACGCACGCAAGCCGGTTGGCGGGTCGGGGGTGCGGGGAGCGGCCAGTCCCAGATGGCCTCGCTCAGTGCCCGGGGCCTGTTCTCCAGTGTCTGGGCCCCCCTTTCTCCCTGTGCTGTCTCAGCCTCAAGGACAGTGGCCTGCGTTTAGTCACCAGAGTGCAGAGCTTCAAGAGGGTGACAATGAAAGCTGCCCCTTAAGGCTTGGGCTCGGAAGTCCCACAGTGTCACCTCCCCCACCTTATGTTGGGCACAGCGAGTCACAGGGCAGCCTGGATTCAAGGGGCAGAAACACAGACTCTACCTTTTCACAGGCGATTCCCATAATGTGTGGCCATGTGTAATGCACCATCCATGCCAATGTGCACTGTCTCCAAGCATCCGCTGTTGGGTAGCAAGCGCTTCTACGGAACTTAATTCCACTGGAAAACATCGATATGTGTCCATTTTTTCTGTCTATGACTCTGTGTCTGCTAAAGTAAAGGGGGACCGAACTTCCTTCCGTAAAGTTATCAAGGTTTATAAACTATTCTAATCCATGGACTGCATAGCCTGGTTTTGCAACATTATTAAAACTCTGTGGAACTCAGGGCATAAGGGGCCGAGCTAACAAGTGTCCCTACCTTTTCAGTTGCCCCCAGGAATATGTCCGTCTTGGTCAGCCCCTCCTCCACCCTGGAGGAAGGTCGTTCTGTGCACATGACCTGCTCTGGCGACGGCCTTCCGGCTCCAAAAATCCGGTGGAGCAGGCAGCTACCCAACGGGAGTCTGCAGTTCCTCTCTGAGAATACGACCCTCACCTTGACCTCTACAAAAAGGGGAGATTCCGGCATTTATGTGTGTGAAGGGAGTAACCAGGCTGGAACAAGCAGAAAAGAAGTTAAGTTACTTATCCAAGGTGAGCAGGATGTGATTAATGAGTGTATTGCTGGTATTATTTTGGTTGTGTTACTGCTTTTGTACAAAGTCCAAAACTTTTTTTTAAAAAATTGTAAATTACAGTTGACACACAATATTATATTAGTTTCGGGTGTATAACACTATAATTAGATATTTATAAAAGTTACAAGGGGATCACACCAATAAAATCTAGCACCCATCTGACACCGCATAGAATTAATACGCCGTTACTGACTGTGCTCTCTACGCTGTCCTTCACATCCCCATGGCTATTCTATAATTACCCGTCTGTGCTCCTAAACCCCTTCCCCTTTTTCACCCAGTCCCCAACCACCCTCCCATCTGGCAACCATCAAAATGTTCTCTGTACCTGTGAGTCTGTATCTGTTCTGCTGGTTCATTTATTATGTTTCATTTTTTAAAAATTCTACATATAAGTGAAATCACATGGCATTAGTCTTTCTCTGACGTATCACTCAGCACAGTGCGCTCCAGGTCCATCCGTGTTGCTGCGGACAGCGAGGTTGCGTTCTTTTTTGTGGCTGAGCCACATTTCATTCCATATGTGTGCCACTTCCTCTTTACCCACGCTGCTGCTGATGGACACCTGGGCTGCGTCCATACCCTGGTCATTGTAAATAATGTTTCAAGGAACATATGGATGTATGTGTCTTTTCAATTTAGTGTTGTGGGTTTCTTTGGATAAGTACCCAGAAGTGGAGTTGCTAGGCCCTTCTTTGTCTCTCGTTATAGCCTTTGTTTTAAATTCGATTTTTGTCCAGTGCAAGTACTGCTGCCCCAGCTTTTTGTTTGTTTCCATTTCCATGAAATACCTTTTTCCATCCCATTACTTGCAGTCTGTGTGTGTCTTTCAACCTGAGGCGAGTCTCTTATAGACAGCATAGGTAAGGGTCTTGTTTTGTTGTTCATTCAGTCACCTTGTGTCTTGTACATGGAGCATTTAAGCCATGTGTATTTAAAGTAATTGTTGACAGAAAAGTATTTATTGCCATTTTATTATTCATATTTTTGATCTTTTCTTTTTTCCTTCTTCTTAAAGAAGACCTTTCAACATTTCTTGTGGTACTGGTTTGGTCCTTTCGCGTCTTCTCGTCTGGGAAGCTCTTTATCTGCTCTTCCATTCTAAATGAGAGCTTTGCTGGGTAGAACAATCTTGGTTGTAGGTCTTTTCATCGCTTTGAATATTTAATGCCAGTCCCTTCTGGCCTAGCAAAGTGTCTGTTGGGAAATCAGCTGACAGCCTCTGAGAGCTCCCTTGTAGGTAACTAACTGCTAAGAATCCAAAAAAAAAAAAAAAAGAGTATTAGCACTCTCTGGGACAACTTCAAGTGTGCCAGCATACATAGGGGTACCAGAAGGAGAAGAGAGAGAGCACGAAATTGAAAATCTATTTGAAAAAATAATGACAGAAAACTTCCCTAACCTGGTTAAGGAGACAGATTTAAAAGTCTAGAAGTGTAGACAGTCCCAAAGAAGACAATCCCAAGGTCCTCTGTGGAGACAAAATTTTTACTAAAAAAAAATGCGTTGAGAGTTTTGAAGAGCTCGTGAGGTTTCCTATGCACAGGAAGTGCCTGGAATAGTACTGCTTTCTCCTGACCGCTGCCAAGGTTCTTATCCTAAAACGTTTCCAGCCTCGAGTGGACAGCAGGCTCCAGGAACTGTGCCAGATGTCCCAGTTACGCGGAGGAGACAGTGATGTGGTGTTGAAATAAAGCTAAGAAGAGGTATATATGTATTTGAAAATGACTTAGGATTAAAGCCACCATATCTGGCGGAATTGGACGCACAGTGGTAATCTCACACGGTGCCTGCCCGTGTTTGCTCAGGAGCCTGAGAGGCACTTAAACCTTTTGTAAATGCGGAGACTTAGAGCAGAAATGACTGCATCCTCTGGTTCTGTTTGGTGGCATAGAAACACTAGAGCGGCTCAAGCTGCCAGATCCAGAGTCGCCCTCCAGGTGGAGAGCCCAGACTGAGGACGAAAACAATCCCTCGTTGACAGGTTGAAGTCATAGGCAATTTTAGGCAAAACCATGCAGTGATCAGTCTGGAGTTTCCCCTCACACTTCCCCTTTCAAGGGTCAAGGCCGTTTTCTTCACTGGGGCTCTCCTGTTCCTTGGTATTGTTTCCTCTCTTACTCCTAAGTGTTATTTCCATTAAGGCATCAGTGACTTTCTTGTTGCTACCTGGTCTCAAAGATAATTTGTGTTTTAAGGGGAGCTCTTTAGAAGGGCAGTGCACGACCTTTTAAAGGAAGGAAGCCTTTAGGATGGATATTACGATACTGTCACTCTGGTGGATGAGAGATTCTCAAGTCACGTTAGAAAATAGATAAACATAAGGGGTATCTCAGCTATGAAACGGTGATAGAGTGTCTCCCTCCATGGGTTATGTCCTCTTAGGGACGCTGTGCGCCAGGTATTCAGTCCCACGGTAGCACGTAGTAGAGGGTGGCGGTGGTTGCTAGGAGCAGGAAGAGAGCCGTCTCAGCACAGCTGAGTTTCGCGATCTGAGACAATCCAGCCCATAAAGGCCTTTGTCCTCCGAGAAGAATTCCTTTTCACATGATCTTTTGGCTCGGCTGGGAAAAGGATTATCGTAGGAGACACGCAGGGAGCATAGGAAATGTCTTCTTTTATTAAAAATATGATCATTTTACAACAAAGTAGTCAATGCTGGACATCTTTATGCACCCTTCTATACATTTAATGCGAACCGTAACCACGAAGAGCTCCTCGATATCTGCTGTCGCTGCTATTAGATCGCTAAGGAATTGGTTTACATTTCACCCAATCAGAGGTGCCTTCCAAATTCTCTTTACAGTCACTCCACAAGACATGCAGCTTAGAGCTTCTCCTTCTGAGAGTGTCAAGGAAGGAGACACTGTCACTATCTCCTGTACATGTGGAAATTATCCCCAAATGTGGATAATCCTGAAGAAAAAAGCGGAGACAGGAGACACCGTGCTAAAGTCTGTAGAAGGTGCCTATACCATCCACAAGGCCCAGCTAGAGGATGCGGGAGTCTACGAATGCGAATCTAAAAATGAGCTCGGCTTGCAGTCAAGAAGTATAACACTTGATGTTAAAGGTTAGCGTTGGGGTTTTGTTTCTGGTTTTCATAATTTTTAATAATAGGTCAGAATTTTGGTGGACTGGGAAGAATTTCTAGGATTAGATGAACGAGTTGGGGAAAAAAGGAGCTGAGTTCCACGACTGTGGTTATTTCTTAATGTTTCTTAAACTACCACCGCCCAGCTGGTCTAACCTGCGGAGTCCGGCCAGCAAGGTGTCATTAATCACTGGTGAGTGCAGAGTTCCCATCTGCTCTTGGCAAAGTTGACAATTCATCATTGGTCTCCGAGGCCTTGTGTTGCCTAAGTGTTTCAACATATTTTTGAAAACTTTCCCTGTGGGTTATAAGAAAACTAAAGAAGTAGGCTTAGCACATGGAAAAAGGAGGGTCCCTTCCAGGCCCGTTTCCTGCCTAGGAGGAGAGAACCCCGCTCTCTGAACACGGAGTAACTGCGTATTCTCTGGGGTGGCGCTTTTCAGGACGACATTTGGGAGTGGCTGCCTCCGTGTAGAACAGAAGAAGGGTCTCTAGATGACAGAATGGCCTCTTTAGAAACCCCACCCCCTTTTTTCATTCTACCCTAATCTGATGCGGGAGCGGGGCCGGGGGGCAATGCTCTCAGCAGAGAAACCTGAGGGTCACGAACCCCTCTGTGAAGGACAACAGTAAAACCCGCGTCTCCTAACCAGCCTCCCACTCCCCGCGCGCTCATGGGCTCCCAGCGCGGGCGGGACACCCGGCTCGGAGTGCAGGGGGCAGCAGACAAAGGCGGCTCCCTTCGCAGCCCCTGGTGCTGGGCCGTCAGAGTTAGCGGCCCCTCGTCAGTGTAGAGAGAGTCTGAACCCAGGTCAGAAAGCAGGTACCGTTTCCCCATCTGGCCAAAATTGTTGAGACCGCAATTTTGCCTTGCCTTATGTTTTCTGCCTTCCCAGTACCTCCTTGAAACACGACACTATCACTACGTCCACCTAGAAATGGTAAAGAAGGGGGCAATGTCACGATTACATGTAAAACTCGCAGTCAGCGCCTGCAGCGGTTGTCCTGAAAAGAGCTGCTCTGGCCAATGAAGTGACTCCGTGTTCAGACAATGGGACCTTGACCTTGGGTCAGGGCTCTCGGCATGACGTGGGGGTGTCTGGTGTCAGCGTGGGTGACGAGCCTGCACGGAGCGAGGTCTCAGTTAGGAGTAGGCTGGAAAGCATGCGTCCCTCCTTCCTTGAATCCCCGATGCCTCCAGCCGCCTTTGATGAAGTGGAGCCCCCGGAAACCGGACGCCTAACGTTTTTGTAATTCTGTTTATAGCTAACAATTCTCTGTACGGACATATCAAATCTTCTCCACTATCTAACTCTTTCTCTCACACATTGTTGTCTTGTCTAACTGCTTTATTAAGTTAGTAACTTATATATTTGCCATGTTCACTTATAACTCCAAGCATATTGGGCACTCAGCTGGAAATTCAGGCCCCCAGACTAAATACAGTTTAAAATAACTACAAATAAATGGAGACAAGACTCTGATATTTTACCTGGGTAGCTTGAACTACTTTTCCTTGGTACTTAGCTGAGTTTTAAAATTCGCTTTGTTTGGTTTTGACTTGAATGTAGTCCAACGACAGACATAGTTGTGAGACTTTGGGATGTTCATTGTTTATACAGCGATTAGAAATTTGTATTTGAATGTTGCTCTGGGGATCCACTCAGCAGCACATGTGCTTTACTGCAGATGCCCAAGGGGACCACTGAAGGCAAAAGATAATATTTATTTAATTTAAAGAAAACAATAGGGGCAGAAATACACCGCCCCCGGGTCCTCGACACGACTGCCTAACCACGGCTGTGACAGAGGACATGCCACTCAGACCCAGCCCCTCCCCTTTGACTCCTGAGTTCCCCTCCGGCAAAGGAAAGCAGGAAAAAATGAGATGATTATCGTTATGTTTAGGGTGAAGGGCTTTTAACGTCAACAATCCGAAAAACTGACTTCCCAACGTGACCCCGGTGGGCGGCCTCCCATAGGGAGAATCTTGCAGAGGGAAGCTAGTGAGCGCCCAAGTCAGGCACCCACTCCTCCCAGGACGGAGAAAACACATATGCCGCCTGAAGACACGTAGCGCTTGACAGGTCACACAAACATAAGTAGGAGCAGAGACGGGTCCCCAGCAAATGCCTTGCTGTTTTCTTCAGCTGGTTTTAGGAAGTTAAGATATCAAATACTGTGGTAGCTGCCAGAGGATGTTTAGTAGAGTAGAAAGAGTACTAACAGTAGTTTTTGCATATTATTCCCCTCTGCACCCAACTTAAAGCAAATGACAAAAACAGGATGCAGAAAGAAAAAATATATAGCATTCTTAAAATATGTATCTGTTGGGTGCCAGCCGCTCCAAGCAGTGAGCCAGGCACTTGCGCTTCATTGGCGGACCAAACACAAAATGGGCAACATACAGTCTGTAGGAAGAAACCAGATTTAATAGACAATCATACAAGCAAATGTTTAATTGCATGCTGTGATAAAAGCTGTTGAGGGACAGCGGGGTGTCCCTTGATAAAAGGTCAAAAGGATATCTGGGCTCCTGATTTAGGCTGGGGCCGATGTGGGTCAGAGAAGGACTCTTAGAGTAAGTAACATTCATGCTAAAATAAGATACTATCCAACAACGTCAGTTTATCGAGAGATGATATAAATGGTGAAGAGGAATAACACATAGTGAGAAGGCCTGGGGAAGAGTCCTTTGCTTACTGTCGCACAGACTGGGGTTGACTCTATGATTACACTCTAGATGTCACAAGGATTCTGTTGGACAACTGTCTCGTTCAGGCAATTCGTGGCGATCAGAGTCCTCGTTCTTCAGTAAACGTTCATGCTTCCCAAGGCACATGCACCTCTCTGACGCTGGCTCTCGTAAATGAGCTCTAAAACACCGCGCCCCTCCTTCCGTTCCACAAGTGAACCTGAGTCTGCTGGGCTCCGGGCGGGTGGAAGTCTGCACGCCCTCCCGACCCGGCGTGGCCCGGCCCCTGGCCCCTGGTCGTGGGGTGGTCCCGGGGAATGTGCCTTTGGGCTCCTTTCACTGCTTTGTTTCACTTCTCTGTCGAGGATGAGTTGTACTGTGAAAATGTGCAAATATTAGCGGTAAACAGTTTCTTTGTGTGCCGGGCATTGATCGCACTGTTTCGTTGTTTTCCAGAAAGAGAAAGCAACAAGGACTACTTTTCTCCCGGGCTTCTCATGCTGTATTGCGCCTCCTCCCTGCTCCTCCCTGCCATTGGCATGATCGTTTACTTCGCCAGGAGAGCCAACATGAAGGGCTCCTACAGCCTTGTGGACGCACAGAAATCAAAAGTGTAGCAAGTGCTCGGAATATTCCCCCGGAGACACTATGTATCAGTCCAAATTCTTCCTACCATTCCACGAGCAAAACTGCGCACGGACGGCCCGGAATTCCAGGGATGTGGTGGGAACTCTTACAAAGGAGCAGCTGCCTATGCTTCTGGCTGTGAGCAAGGCGCCCGCGGGAAACTTTCTGCCGGGAAACGGGCACTCCCATGGAGACGCGGTGACTGCAGTAGGCCCCTGATGTGTACATACAGTCACGTGACCTGTACATTTGTGAAATAAAACTACGCCATAGCAGGATTGCTGGGAATTGCAGCATCAGTCATGAGAGCTCTAAATAATTAAACAGTGTTGCCTGGACTGATGGTTCTAACGTAATGCCTCTTAGAAAAATTTAACGTTAATACTGACTGGCCAGTTACCTACGTCTCATCTTTTTATATTTCGTTTCCTGTAACGGAACTTGATTCCTATGAAGCTCATGGACAACAACGTCGTGTTGGTAAAGACGCCAGGGTTTTCTATTTTTAGAGGCAAATGACGAACCAAGAGGGCGCTGGGCTGACTTTCAGGTACGAGACGCTGGGGTCTGTGATGGACCGGCTGACTGGGTTTCTCTGGACGGTACTGCCGCGGTACGGAGCCGTGGGACGGTGTTGTTTGGTCATCACACTCTTGTGCAACTTTCCCGACGCGGCCTAATAACGCCACTCCTTGAAATCTTCTTTTGTAAATGTTTAGTCTTTTTGTATAGTAAAGCGATCACTGCTGGACTTGGAAGAGTTGTGTTTATTTATTATTGACTGCTTCCTTTCATCGCCTGGTAGCTCTTTTTGAAATCCCAGGTCCCCAGGAGGGAGAGTGCAAACCCACAGAAATAGTAAGTGATGCCCGAAGTGTAGACCTCAGGGTGCTTCGATCAGAACCACCGTGGGAACCCGATAAAAAGTTAGATTTCTCAGTGCCACCTGAACCCACTGAATCGAAATACCTGGTTTTGTGTCCCTAGAGTCTGCAATTTAAAGAATTTAAAATGTAGTATATATGAAGGCGTGAACCCAGATAAGCACGTGTATGTTAACAGGCAATTCATGGACACCCGGTACAAACCACTAAGACTGAAAGCCAGAACGTTAATGTCCCTCAGAGCCTCTGTGTTCCACTCACAACTCTCGCACTGAGCGGGAACCGGTATCTTGAGTTGCGTACTAGGCATTTCCTTGCTCCCTTTGGAGATTCTATAACTTTACAGGTAGCCCTAAGTAAAACATTATTAAGTTTTTCCAGGTTTTGAATTTTACATAAGTATAGTCAAACAGTAAATTGGCCTGTGGCTTCATTCTTTCAGTCAAAATTACGTTTCTGCGTAATTCACCCATGTTGTTGTACATAGCTATAGGTCATTCATTTTGTGTTAGTCTATAGTATTTATTACTCTGTAATACAATATAGTATTATAAGATATTGCCACAATTTATTTATCTCTCCTACTGTTGATGAATATTTGGGCTGTTTCCAGCTTTTACTATTATGAGCAATGCTTCTATGAACATTATTTTACATGGTTCTGGCTAATATTGACTGAAATTAAAAAAACTGCTTGCAAAAAAGTACATACTGTATGATTTAATTTATATATAGTTCAAAGCATGAAAAAAACCCAGAACAAAACAAAAAACACCTGGTGTTAAAGTCGGAATAATCGGTTGCTTCTGGGGCGGTAGAGGCCATGAAGGAGCGCTCTAGGACTTTCCAGGGTTTCTGTTCTTGTCGTGTTGGCTTGATCTGGGTGGTGGTCATGTTAGTAAAACTTACATGAAAAAAAGAAGATTCTTGAAAATCAAAGACCTAGAGAGAAGAAGGGCATCGGGTGCAGGCCCTGGGAAGAGAGAGGAGGAACAGGCGACCTTGCCCATCCTACCTGCTCCCCAGGTGTCATGTGTCCTGGGGGAAGAGGAAAAGTCCTTTCAGAAACTAGAGCCGGACACTCTGCCTCCAGAAGTGCAGTGACGCGTGGGGTCAGAAATGGGGGATCCTTCCACCCTAGAGACAGAAAGGTCCCTGCCTCCTCCCTTGACCTCAGTTCCAGGACCTTTGCAGGGAGGAGCAGAGTGAGGGCGAAGGTGGGCAAAGGGGGCCGAGCACACGTCGCTCGGGTGGCAGCTGCCGCCCCCTGGGGAGGAAGGGGCTCTGCTATCTGGCTCTGCTGGTCTCGGACGTGGGCACGGCTTGTGCTGGACGAGACTGTCACCTTTTTCTGGCTGTCTGGTGTGACAGCGAGGGCACCCCTCAAGCAGACACGCTTCGTAGTGCCTATAAAGCTAGAAACGCAAAAAAACTCATTCACTCACTATTCCCGGGGGGAGGAAACAAGCGGTTGACTTGGGGAGATTCATGAGAAGCACTTTCAGGATGTGAGTGAACTTTCATTTCCCTCAGAGTGTGCTTCCTAGTATCATTTTCTTAGAAATGGGTTCAAACCTTGTGCAGACGTCTGGTGGTATCTGTTCTCAGCTGCCAGAACTTTTTTTTTTTTTTTTTTTTTTGGTATTTATGAGATGGGCAAGTTTGCTGTCTCCTACTCTGATACTGTCGCCGTCAAACCAAGACTCATAAACAGGTTGGAAAAAATTCATGACGGTCCCCCTGTTGCAACCATTGCCATGATCTGTTCTGCTCTGGGTAAATGAGGTAGGAAAAATATCAAAGAGAACTCAAGACTGTTTACAAATACAGGAGAGCTGTACCCACCGACCAAAACTTCTTGACGAGTATGGATTTAAATAACGGCCTAACACAGAGAATTCTTCTTCTTCTTCCTCCTTTTTTTAAAAAAATCTTCTTTCCATATCGAATCCCCAGAACCACCTCTTCTGCTCTGCTAATTACAGATTAGGGGAAAATATTAGTTCCAGTTGAAGTGCCCATTATAGTTACTGGGGAAGGTAACATTTGGGTTCAATCACCTTGGCCATTAAAGAGTTTCCGTTTTCTTGTACTTAAAATGCAGGTCCTACCAGTAAACTTCAAGGTCTCTCCTAGCTCTCAAGCACAGTGGTTCTTTGAAAATTTATATATGCCTTAAGTAAATTTCTTTCACTTATTTTAGAGACTCTCTCTTTGTATTTAGCAAAATGAAGGAATTAGGAGTCTTTTTTATCCCTTGCTGATCAACTTTAACAGAGTTTGAGAAACAAATTAAACATTTAAGTTAATTCTAATACTAGGAAGTAGTTTCCACAAGGATTTCTTAACAGCCACGCTCCCCTGCCGAGAAGAAAGGGACATGGCCTATGTCTTTCGAAATGCCTTTTATTTTGGCTGTTCTGACAGGGAACATTTCACTTCTTAGAAACAGTGCATGCAGTGGCTTTTCAGATTTTGTTACTATTGGAGAACATCGTTTCTCTCAAAAGAGACTAATCTGGAAGCTTGCTTGAGGAAAGCACCTGAACTGAATGGAATCAAGTGTCTGGGCTTTTAGTGAAGGACAATGTTAGTTAGACATAGAATGTCATTGTTTTTAGTTCTTTCTTCACTGGAAGGATCCTGAAGGCATTGTGAAGAAGAAAAAAAAGAGTTGATCCCGTGATTGAAAAAGCAATGTTTCGGTCTTGTAAAAAAAAAAAAAAAAAAAAAAAAGAATAACAAAATAAACTAACGAACAAAATAGAAACAGACTTATAGACTTACAGACTTACAGACACATAGAACAGACTGACAGCTGTCAGAGGGCCCAGGGGAGGGGTGGGAGGCTGGGTGAAAAAAATGAAGGGATTAAGCAACAACAATAGAAAACCTCCCCGGCAACAGTGTGGTGATTCCCGGAGGGAAAGGGGGTGGGGGAGGTAGAAGGGGGATCACGCGGGAGTAAATGGTGCCAGAAGGAGACTTGATCTGGGGTGGTGAACACACAATATCGTATACAGGTGATGCCTTATAGAATTGTACACCTGAAACCTATATAATGTTATTAACCAATGTCACCCCAATAAATTCAATAAAAAAAGAATAAGGCCACACTGACTTTGAGGGGCAAAGAGAACCGTGAATTACTCCTAAATTAAACTGTATTGTTAAGACCTTTAACTAACTTGCTTAAATGAAGGTTTCAGTCTGCGTAAAGGGTATTGAAAATCACCGCTGTAATTAAGGATGCCGTTACTATCTTTCTTTAATCCAATTTGCATGCAATTAAAATTCGTTCAGTTTCCCAGACACTGAGTGCTATCATGCTGAAAACCCAGCAAGCGATACTAAACAGAGGAGGTTAAATGTGTGATGGAGATGATCGTTACTACCCTGGCTTGAGGTCCTATGCGGTATTTAGGGCCTCGTGAGTTAGGAACTCACGAGGCCCTGCTTCTCCCTCTTGGTTGGAGTTCCCCTGCCTCAGGCAGCCTCGTCACTTCCCAGCCCCCTCGGAATGTTACACGCTGGCTACCCTCCGGCCAGTCGAGCGTCCTGAACGTGCGCCAAACCCTCCTCGTCAGCAGGCTCCCGCGGGGCGCTCCTGGAAATGAAGGCCAGGTCCATCGACTGAACGGGCCTCTTGGCAGGACCGGAGACTCCAACATGTTAGTAAATAACCCCAGCGATTCTGGTGTCTGTGTCGGGAAACATTGCTCTAGTTTTACCAGAACAACGAGGCTGGAATTTTGGGGAAGATTTCTCTGGTCTGCACCCATCTCTCCACCTTTTCTGGGACCTTGGCCTACCGTACAAACACTTTTTCCTGCCTTCAACCTCCGACCTCTACTAGCTCCTGTAAGAGTCTAATCTCTTCCATCATGGAATAAAAAAGAACAGACACAATTTTTTCTTAATCCAGTGCTCCAGCCGCATTTCCCGTTTCTTTTCACAGTGGGATTCTAGAAGCGATAACGGCGGGGTGGGCTGCCTCTCCGTCGCTGCGCGGCAGACCCCTGTGCGGCAGACCCCTGTGCAGCTTCTGCACCCGCTCCCCCGAAGTCAGCGACGATCTCCGCGGGGGTCGGGCTCGTCCCAGGCCTCCCCTACTCACCAGCCCCTTGTCTGTGGAGCCGGAGAGAACCCAGGTGAGAAAGAAAGAATCACCCTCTGTTTTCAATTTCAAGCCAGGTTTATTGGAATCCTTAGGAAGACCACGGTTTTAGGAGGCAGACTATGGAGAGAAAGTAAAGCACTTTTCTACGTTCCCCCAAGTCCCCGGACATAGCAAGAGCTAGAGATCTGATGAGGCTGGGTAAGCCTCTAACTCATGGATGGACTGGACGTTGTTCTTGGGCTGAGAGAGGAGCCGAGAAAGAGAAAGAAATGGCGAGATATTAGGCACCAAGGTCCTTGCCGCTCTCCGCCCGGGGGCCGAATAATCTGGGAGGAACACTTCAGAAGAAGCTCCATAGAGGAGGCGCTGCTGGAGCCGAGCCCCGAGCATCTGGATAAGACGTAGACAAGTCGCTGGGAGGAAGGGTGGGGACGTGCGGAGGGAAGGGGACAGGGTGAGCTGCTGTGGAGGGAACAAAGGCCTAGACTTCTACGTGGAGAAGAGTAAATGGGCCCATTTGGCAGGAACACGGGGGCGTGTGAAAGCGCAGCTAGAACTAAGGTTGGAAAAGGTCATGGAGACAAAGCGTGGGCGGCCCCGCACGCGGCCGTGGGGTCTGGGCTCTGCTCAGGGGTCCGGGTCACTGAACGGGGCCGATGGGACCGGGGCAGTTCTTAAGGACGTTGATGTTTCCGGAGTGCCCGCTATTTCCTGGCTAGGCCTCCATCCTCTGACTACTCTCAAGATCGTCTTCCCACCTTCCTGCCTTTAGCGGTCACTGGAATTTTGTTAGTTAGTCCCACGGCCGCCGCATGAGTGAGAAGGAGGGGAATCGCCTTTCTCAGGCTCGGCAAGGGTGAAACAGAATATTATTGAGCAATGAAAATAACATTTGCAAAAAAATATTATTTAGCCAGTGAAATGACATGTTCAAAATATATTTATTGGCATGAGGAAGTGCTTATGTTCCACTGATGAAATAATGAAATAATAGATTAATAAAAGCAGAATAAACTTTGTATGTACAATTTGAAAGCATCGTAAAAATCTGAATGTTGTGTGTCTATATGCATGTATGTATATAGAGAGGAAAAGAAAGTGTTAACATTGATGGCGGTATTATAGGTGTTCTTATATCCTTATTTGTGCCCTTCTCCTTCTCCCAAGTTTAAATGTAATACAATTATAGTCAGAAAAGTTATTTGCTAGTGTGTTAACCTTGGCAAGTATATCTTCAAACAGCAACCAAGTGAAGAGAGCACCCTACCTGAACCAGATACTTGGAATTCTCAAAGGGCTATAAATAACCATCCAGGGCTTTAAGATCCAGACGTGGGGTGAGGCGGTCACTTCAGCTTTCTGAGCATTTGCATGTTTGCCCTCAAGAGGCTAAAGAGGAGAGGAAAGTGCTTGAACAATCTCTCAGCGCTAAGCCCCCTCTGGAATTTCCAAATAAGGCCCTGGGGGAGAGAAGATGCCGGGAGACTC